ATCCTCTCTTCAGTTAAGTTGATGAACTCTTATGAGTTCTAGTACTTTTACAGAACATTGTCTTAAATGTCCTCGATAGATGAATAAGTATGTGTAAAAACTGGCTGAGTTAGGGATTCATTTTTTTCAATATAGATTTCTGCCATTTAAAAAAATATTAACGTCATTTTTACCCTCTATATTTTTCAATTTGATTTTTAATTGACAAACACTAATTGTGTGTATTTATGGGGCACATGTGGTATTTTGATAGAGGTTTACAATGTGGGATGATTAAAGCAGGCTAATTAACAAAACTATCACTTCACATACTTATTTTTTGGAGTGAAAACATTCATAATCTACTTTTAGGAGTTTTAAAATATACAATGCATTATAATTTATTATTGTCACCATTCTTTATGATAGATATCTAAATCTTATTTCTACGTACTGAAACTTCGTACACTTTCACAAACATCTTCCTTCTCACCATTTTATAAAATACATGTTATTTTTCTCAGCAGGTTCACGTTTACAGCAAAATTGAGCAGAAGGTACAGAGTTCCCACATAGCCCCTATTCCACGTGCCCACGCCTCCCCACTATCGAAATCCCACACTGGAGTGGGACGTTTGTTACTGTCAACAAACCTACACCCACTCATTACTATCACCTAATATCCACCATTTACATTAGGGTTCACTCTTAGTGTGGCACATTCTGTGGGTTTCACCAACATATAATCACACGTATCCACCATCATAACATCGTAGAATAGTTTCACTGCCCTGTGAACCCTCTGTGCTCTGCCTGTTCGTCCCTCCTCCTCCTAACCTCTGGTGACCAGTGACCTTTGTGCTCTCTCCATAATTTTGCCTATTCCAGAGTGTCATCATTGAAATTCTGTAGTATGTAGCCATTTCACATTGACTTTATTTCCTCAGTAATATGCATTTAAGCTTCCTCCATGTCTTTTCATGGTGTGAAATCTCGTTGTGTCACTGAATAAGATTCCATAGTCTGAATGTGCTGTTTTTCCATTCACTCACCTGATGAAGGACATCTTGGTTGCTTCCAGCTTTTGGCAAGTATGAATAAAGCTACTATAAACATCCATGGGCCGGATTTTGTCTGGACATAAGTTTTCAACTCATGTGGGTAAATACCAAGGACCACACAAGCTGTATGGTTTGGTGAGAAGATGATTAGTTTTGTGATAAACTGCCAACCAGCCTCCCATTGTGGCTGTACCACTTTGCATCCCAGCAGCAATGATGAACGTTTCCTTTTGCTCCACGTGCTGCCAGCATTGGGTGTTGTCAGTAGGTGATCTCTCTTACGAAAGGGAAAGGAAGAAAAAAGAAAGGAAAAAGGCGAATCGAAGAACTAGTGTAAGGCATCGTCAACTAGAAGGATTCAGTTGAGATGGAAACTGAAATGCAAGGAGCAGCTGAGACAGAAGGTAACCTGCATGCAGCTCCAGTCCATCTAAGTCACCACCAGCAGACGGACCCACTGAAAGTTCCACCTTGTTGCTTCACACGTCACAAAGTTTCAAACTGTGTATCTTTAAGCAGGTTTCTTAATTTCTGTGAGTCAGTTGCCTCACTTGTAAAGTAAGAATTACTAGCTTATAGCTTATATGTTTGTAGCAAGGATTGAATGTGATACATTTTGTTTTCTATGGTGTCTGGCCATAGAATAATCCAAAAACGTGGCTACCCATTTTATTACCACCATTATTATTAGCTACACAGTTTTTGACTCATAGGACCTGTGTGGAGGGTGACACGTGCATGTTTCCAGATATGATCAGCTCACTATTATTTTCATGATTTTTACTGAACACTCTATTCTCTTCTCCATTGGCCCTGGAAGCCTCTATTCTACTTTCTGTTTATATGAATTTGACTGCTATAGTTGCCTCCTATAAGTGGAATCAGACCCTGTTTTTCTTTCTGTAACTGGCTAAATTCACTTAGTAAAATGTCCTCAAGCTTCATCCACGTTGTAGCATGTGGTCGGATTTCGTTCCTTCTTAAAGCTGAACCATATTCCAGTGTATGTGTGATCCACGTTTTGTTTGTTCATTCACGTGTCAGTGGATGTTCAGGTTGTTTCCACCCCTTGGCTGCTGTAAAGAGCGCTTCTCTGAACATGGGTTTGCAAATGTCTCCTCTAGACCCTGTCTGTGCTTCTTTTGGATGTATCCCCAGAAGTGGAGTGGCATGATCATAGGGTGACTCTACTTTTAATTTTTGGAAGCTGAATATTGTGTTCCTCACAGCTGCACATTTCACCATCAACAACGCACAAGGTTTCCTATTTCTCCACGTTATAGCCAAAACTTGTTCTTTTTTTTTTTTTTTGGTAGTGGCCATGCTAATGGGTGTGAAGAGACTGCATGATTCTGACTCGAGATCTGAAATCCAGCAAAGGGCACTGGGACAAAAATCCTGGCGATGTCTCAGCTCTCCCACCCATTCTGCCATCACCTCACTCCGAGCACAATGGAAACACTCTGTGGTTTGTTCCATCCTGATCCAAAACCCCAAAACCTTCCCTGGTCCACCATGTCCCTTTATGTTCCAGGTTAACCAGCCACCTGATGTGCCCCGGCCAGCCCTGTGGTTGACACTGTCTCGTCTTCCCTCATGCTGTTCTCTAAGGCTCCCTTCCCCCAACTTTTGTGATTCCACATTTTAACTGATTCTACATTTGTAGAACTGCAACCGTGGAGCTGCTGTCAAGGAGAGGTGCAGGGTGCCAGCAAATCCTACACATGGGAGCACTGACCAAGGCACTGGGGTCAAGGACCAGTCTCCCCTAGATGGAAAGATCTAAAGCCAATGAGGAAAAGAGTAAAGCAGCCATAAACAGTGCCACCTATGAAAACTAAAAAACCCTGAGCAGGTGTGCAAGGCTCCAGGAACAGTAAAGACACTGGGACCGATCCTCTCTGAGAGAGGCACATCTTCCCTAGTGGAATATACAGCTGATGGCCAAGCCTGCACCAGCACAAGCTCTGCTGCACCGAGGTGCAGAATTCCTCATGGCTCAGCCACTGTGAGAAAGGTCTGACTACCGAGTTCATGTCCGTGGGTCCGTAGACTCAGAGACGGTAGCTGGGATTCCCCCATTCACTTCAGATGGAGGGAGTGTGTCTAGGTTTCCTTATAATCTGAGAAAAATCACTGATTTCTTGACTTTGGCTGTGCTCTAAACTAGGGATGGGTGGCAATCTATGACATGTTTGACAAAGAGCACCAGACAATATTACCGATATGTATTGAGTTTTGTATGTGACCCAAGTAAATTTTATACATACACACAGAGACACTCATTTAATCATTATATCAACCCGATGATACTGGCATTATTAGCCTCCTTTTACAGATGAGAAAACTGGGTTTACATAACCTGAGTAATTTTTCTCAGGTCCAATGACCCATAAACGTGGGTCAGAACTCTGCCATGGGCTTCAGCCCTGTATCCCCGTCCCTGCCGGTGGAGCCGGTGGAGGCAGAGATGGATCCAGACACCTCCCACCATCCTGTGTGATGGAAGAGGGAACCACTGCTGTCCTCCACTGCGACCCAAGCAAACCTGCCACTGTCCTTTGTTAATAAAGGTGTTTCTCGGTGGCGCTCAGTCTGCTGTCCTGCAGAATCACCAGAGGAGATTTAAATAGTTCAAGTGACTGGGCCCCACTCTACACCTACTGAATCAAAACCCCCCGAGAAGAGAGTGTGAGAAATTGTGCATTTTAAAAGATCCCAAGTCGTTTGACTGTACAGCAGACACTGAAAACCTCTGGCCTGGGCTTGACTCCTCTCACATATACTTTAGTTTAGTGGGAAATGTCTGCTGATAGAAGACTCTTCCTCCTCACGTGGAGCGTGACGTCGCGGCATGGAACGGCAGGTGGGGAGTGAGTCGCTTTGTCTGGGGGCTGCCTCCACCTCCCACTAAAAGTGAGATTGGCCTGGGCTGCAGAGCGAGGTTGGAAGTGAGAGGCGTGTCCTCCAGGGACAAGGGGAAGCCAGCGCCTCCCTGTCCATCTCTCTTCATTACCGTTGTCTCCCTGTGCTGCCCTAGAGCGGAGGATCCTCCAACACCTCTGATGCTTGCTGGGCTCCTGGCACCCCAGGAGCTTCTTGGGATAAAAGAGTGGGGGTCATTTAATCATGACATCAGCCCTGTGATGACGTGGGGGGGGAGGCTGGTGGGCACAGGAGGCTTGCTCTTCATGGACAGAAATTTGGAACCTCGGCTCTGTGGGCAACTCCACCCATAAACAGGGACTCTAACTGTGGAGTGAGGGCAGCTAGAGAGCAGGTGGAGCAGTTGCTTTCCCCAAGGAAATCCTCCAAATGTGGCATGTGCTCAACAGTGTTGTAAGGTGCCCTTGGGGTCAAATGGTGGTGATGGAGGGGCCGTGGGAGAGGGACGTTCTTGTTCAGACTTGATCAGTGTGTGGCAGGAACACTCCTGCTCAGCTGTCAGAACAGCAGAGGGGGGTCAAAGTGGGCTCCTTATGAGGTTGCTGTCCCCTAACCAAAGACAGTCCCCACCTTCTGTGTCCACGGGATCTTTCCTCCCCATGTGAGAACTCACCTGAGCAACTGCATTAAAAGGGGTAACAAGGACAGAATCCTCAAAAGCTCAGAAGCAAACTGAGGATGCAGGGAACACATCCAGAGGCACCTGAGTGCTGCCCTGGAGGACGGAGCAGTGTCCCTCAGGGCTGCTCCCCTGTGCTTGGCCCCAGTCAGATGCAGAGAGGTGTGGGGACGTGGCCCTGATGGATGACATTGGCCTTGCTGGGGAAGGGAGGGCTGGAAGCCAGGCCTTGTGACCTGCCACATGTCTGTGTGGGCAGGACCAGCGAGAGTCGCCAGGTACAAATAGCCCTGGGCTCCATGGGCTCTCAGGCTCCTATGCTTGAGTCTAAATAGATCCTCCTTTGCTAAAGCTGAAAGCTTAAAATGAAAGCTCAAAGCACAAAGTAAACCACCATGAGGCTGCCTGTGTGTCTCCTGCTGGTCACTCTGGCCCTGTGCTGCTATGAAGGTGAGTGTCATTTGTAATCAGTCTGGCACCTGCCCCTGCTAGGTCCCCTTCTGTGAACTCCAGGTAAGCCTACTCGGGCTGGGGTTGGGAATAGGCCAAAATTTGAACCTTTCCTTGTGCTTGTTGAAATAGCTCCCCAAAGCCCAGAGCTTACTTTATCGATTTCCCAGCACCCAGGAACTTTTATAAGAAGAGTACTGAGTATACAGGTTGGGAATTCTGCCTGCGGCTTCCTTCCTTCACTGAGATCCGTGTTTCTGATGCTCCCGGATGTAATGGGAGGTCTGGGTGGGAATCTGGGCCCTGCCACTTCCCAGCCCTTTGACCGTGGGCCAAACGCTTCATCTCTCTGAGCCTCGTCTTCCCACTGGTGCCCACAGCTGCCACCGAGAGTGGCTGTGAGCTCGCAGTGAGATGAAGCACATCAGGAGCCCAGCCGTAGATATGAAGCCAAGAGCTGAAGATGACAGACTTTCTCCTCCCCGGAGTCCTTAGGTGCCAGTTGAGCCCACGGCCTCTTAACTCATAAGTTCAGATCACAAAATGTTACAGCTGGAAAGATCTTAGGAGAGGCCCCAGTTCAAAAAGAGCCAGTGCTCTCTGAACCTGATTAATAAACCTGCAAATGGGCTCTGGGAATAAGCAGCACTTGATATATCTAGGAGTCCTCCTGGTTTCCTGGGAGTCACCACCGAGCATAGCAGAACTAATGCGATCATCAGAGCTATAGATTCTATTTTTGTCTCACATTAATTCTAGCCAACCTGTCAACACTTTGCATGTCTTCCTTCATGCCCTGGGTGCCGATCCAGCCTGTCTGAGTTTTCCTTTTCCTCTTCCTTTCTGAACTTCCTCCTCTTTTCCTCTGATCCTTTCCTCTCCGAATTCTCCCCAGAGTCTGATGTTGTCTGACCAGGGCTCACCTTGGAGCCTAGAAGGACACTTCCTGGGTGCAGGGTGGTTGCAAAAGACTTGGAGGGATGAGGGATCCAGACCAGGAAGAGTCGTCACCCAGGTCTCAGCACAATCCCTACAGGGCAGGAAGGAGGCCCAGTTCTCTCTTCTCACCTTCTCTCAGGATTCTGGACATCACAGAAGAAAGAGAGAGCCAAAGAAATGGTGTAAAAAAGGTTCACATGTGCTAAAACTGGTCATCTCTCTTTCTTTCTATTTTTAGCTTTTTACCTCTGTTTGCTTCTGATGGCAAATATCCTAATTCCTCCAGTTTAATCTCAAAATATCACCTTACAACATGTTAATAATTTTATTTATTCTTCTCTAGATTGACTCTTTCTTCCCTGATCTCTGGTAAGATTCTTACTCTACCTTTCACCTGAAAATGTGATTACTGAAAACCTCCTGTTCACCAACATTCAAAAAGGTGTCACAATCAATTTTTTCAAATCTAGAAAAGAGAATTGCAGCAAACAGAGAAGCACTGGAAAGTGGCCGATGAGCCTTAAAAAAAAAGTGAAAGAGTGAGCAGGTAACCAGTTTTCCTGTCCTGGCTCTGCCCTGTGCTGTGTCATCTGGAGGAGTCACAACCTCTAGGATCTTGCATTGTCATCGGCATGATTACAGGAGGGGAACATAAAACCCCCGGATCCTGTCCTGTTCTGACATCAGGGAGCCATGGGAAAAATCGAGTTTCTGAGCATAAACTGTACTTTTTTCCTTCTGCTCCAGCCAATGCGGTGCCCTGTGCATCCCTGGTGAAAGAAATGGGGACCTTCCTGATTGGTTCTGACACTGCAATGAAGATACAACTCGCCAAATATAATGCACCAAAGGAGGAAGTGGCAGCAAAGTTGCAAGTGAAGAAATGCACAGACGGGATGTCCTCAGGGGACAGAAAGCGAATTATAAAAATATTGGTAATTTCTTTTCTCCTTTATGCATAGAGGCTTCTGTTCAGCCGCACAGCCAGGAATGAGGTCGGCTCACTGCTCTGTGAGGGTCAGAGCTGGTGGCACCTGCCCTGCTGCACAGCTCTGATGGGTGACCCAGGACCTCAGGGTGGACGCTACATGACAGCTGCTGAATTAAACCCAGAGGCACACAGCATCCTGGGCACGCTCCTCCTTCTCAGGTCACCTCCCTGTATAACATGGTCCCTAGGGTGTCCTGAGAAGGAGGACACTTGGGCCCCAATGCAGGGGAGTTGGGGTCAAGCACTACTGTCTCCTGCCTGGGTGCTGTCTTGAGAGTGAGTGGCACCACCCAGTGGGACACAGGCAGAGGGGAGGTCGTGAGCTGCGGGGACAGTTGAACAGGGAGACGCAGGGAGGAGGGAACTAGAGTGGCCCCTGTGTGTACAGCGGTGGCCCGCTGGGTTCCCTGCAGCTTCTGCAGGGCCAGGAGCCCACTCCAGCCCTTATGCCCACTCTCCCCACCTTCCCACACGTCTCTTCCTCACCATGACAGGGGAGGGACCTCGCTGCTTTGCCTCCCCCCGTCCCATGGAAGTGGGAGCACTTGCCTTACGTCTTATCAAGTAATGAGAGGTTATAAAGGGCTCTCCCAGCCCATCTACCTCTGGGTTTAGGTCGTGAGGTTCAGCTGCAAATGCTCAAAGAAGCTGCGGTCTCAGAGCTGAGAAGGGCAGGGGCCGTGAGGCAGAATTCCCACACTGGGAGGCTGGGGGTCTCCTGACAGCCGTGCTGCCCGGAGTCCCCTCCCAGCGCTGCCCGGTCTCTCAGCCCTGGGTCCCCCACTGCAGGGGACAAGCAGAGTCCACTGTGCTGGGACCTCAGGGAAAATCACTGCTGGGTGCTCTGTCCCCTCCTCACCCTCCCCTCCTTTAGCGACCTGAGTCACAGTCCTGGGTCACTCAGGGCTTGTTTGCCTGACTGAGCAAGGGCTGTTCCCTGATGCACATGGAGAGTCATCACTGTGCCAGGTCTGTGCTCCAGCTTCCATGGCACTGGCTTCCTGCCTTCTGCCCTTCCAAAGTGCCTTTTGCTGCAGAAATCCCACTGCCAGCTTAGTCGTGAACGACAGTCTGAGTTCACCTCATCTCCGGGAACAGGGTCACTGATCTCATCCTATGTTTCTGTTTCAGGCTCAAATACTTGTCCAGTGTGGTGCCAATGATATAAATAGTATTATTTCCTAAATTATCTGAATCTGACACCAATCACCTACTCCCCTTGAAAATGTGAAGGTTTCAACGTCTTGCTTCAATAAATGTGCTGTCCTGCACTTGTCCACGTGTCTTGTTATTATCCTACAGGCTCAGGCCTTGTCTCAATGAAGACTTTAATCGTGAAGTAGCCTTTTGGTGCTGTCATAGTAAACCCCAGAGAACCAACGTCCTGTCCCCAGTGGGGTCCTGAGGTTCAGGCATCACGAAAGTCAGTGTCCTGTCAGGACCACCCAGCACTACTCTACAGATTTCCCATTCATACTGTCATGAGAGAAAATGACTGTTCCAGGAGACCAGCAGCTACAGTGTCCTATTGATCTTGTCCCGAGGGAACCCCCAGCCCAGCCGCTGGCCAGTCCCATGGTCCACACCTGCAGCAGCTCTGGTTGGTGGCCCTCATCACCACACTTCACCTGCTTGTCCCAAATCTTCTCTGGGGATTGACTCCTATGTCATGTCCAGTATAAATAATTTGCCATTTATCAAAATTTAGGGGCATCTCCACATTTCAACCTCAAATAATTTTATTTGACCCCACATCCTCAAAGAGCCGATCAGTGTCCACACCACTCACCACATGTAAGGCTATGGCTTCCTCCAGCAACTTCTCTCAAGTGCGCTGGAAACAAGGACGCAGCGGACACCTGGATGGTCCATTCAAGTACCCCACAGCTGTGTCAGAAGCGAGACAGAAAACAGAACACACTGTCTTCCCCAACTACTCCTTCTCCGGGCCATCCCACACACAAGTCACCCGACTTGGAAAGCATGTACACAACGTAGCTTAGGGTCCTGTGGCTGCTGTAACAAACTACCACAAGACTGATGGCTCGAAATGACTTATTCTCTCTCAGTTCTGAAGAACAGATGTCCAGAACTAGTACCACAGTGTGGGAATCCAGGGGTCCCCAGGGCCGCCCTCCCTCTGGAGTCTCTAGGGGGGATTCCAGCTTCTGGTGACTGAGGACAGTCTTTGTCTTGTGGCCGCATCACTCCCACCTCTGCCTCCTTCATATGATCTCTTCCCCTTTTCTGTTCATGTCATAACTCCCTCTTCCTTTTCCTGGTAACATAAATGTGTTGGGTTTAGGAACCATCAGGTTATCCAGAATCACCTCCCATCTCCAAGTCCTTACCTCAATCACATCTGCAAAGTGCTTTCCTGCTTTGTGATGAGGATTCACAGGACCCGGGGATTAGGGTGCAGATTCTTGGGGAGAGGGGGCATTAATTAGACTGTGGCTGCTCCTCTCCCTCCTGCCTACGATAGTCCGCTAAGTTCTGCCCCTCCACTCCACAGCGTGGCCTCTGTGAGCCCCGTCCTTTCCAGTCCCACAGCCATCAGCACAGTCCAGTCTGTGTCCTTCTCGGCTGAGACAAGTCTCCTCAGTGATCTCCCAGCCTTCTGTGAAGCCCTTCCTGTAACACCCCCTCCTCATCCATGCCAAAGTGAGCCTCTTAAAATTGAAACGTGGTCCTGACACTCTCTTCAATACCCAAAATGGCTAGAGGCCAATTGTTCCCAAGTGTTTCAGGTAAAAGGACTAATTTACTCTAAACCCAACTTCATGTGGTAATAGTTATGTTTATACAATGGAGAAAATCGAAGGAATGAGTGATTATGAATTCAGCAATGCTTTTGAAATAAATTCATATTTTCAATCACATCAGGAAATCTGTACACTTGAAAACAGCACCTAAATGTATGAAACTCATTAGGAGTTCAGTCTACAGCCCATGCTTGTCAGACAGCAGGACTGACAAAGTTTCTGCCAGACTCTGAGAAACCCAGATTGGAACCAATGTTGGAGGATCAAGTTTGCACCCTGGAGCTGGGCATGAGGACTTACATGACCCTATCAAATGTGCCTCTCCAAACTCCACTTCCTCTTCACCTGGGGAATCTGTGATCAGTCCACTTGCTGATGTGTCCTTTGCTTCTACAGCAGGTTGTGTGACACTCTCACACCAGGGCACATGGTCTTCCCTTTACATCTGTGACCTTCCCTGCCTATGACAGCTGGCAACCTCATCTACAGATTCCACTTCTCAGGTCTCCTCCTCTGTGAAGCCCTCTCTGATACCAACACTCTGAATAATCATTATACACACATGCACCCACATGCATACACACCCCTCTTTTATCATCAGTTTGCCTTTCTGTGGCATAGATGCAATTTCTAGAGTTGTTGTGAGAATATACTAATACACAAATACTGCAAAATACTCAACAAATATTAGCAATCACTATTACAATGCTTCTAACCACTAAAAAGTTCTATGTATATAGCAGAGCCCTGCTATCTATATGCATTCAGCTGGTGGGTTTACCTGCTCTGTGTCACTTAGTCTTCACTAGTCCTTAGGAAGGTCAAAGGATCTTATCAATATTTATCATGGGAGTGAGAAATGCTCTATGCAGAGCTCCTCAACTGATGCCTCAAAAGCAAGTGATGCCAGGCTCCATCCCAGGACACATGTGTCTATCTGTCTGCAAGTAGAGCCCCTCCAGGCCCCATTTCCTCATCTCCCAGTCCTGTAGGTGCAGCCATGTAGTGAAAGGGGGAGGCAGTAGCTGCAGGACAAGAGGTCCCATGAGACTCAGAGAACTCCCAGCATCTCCAAGGCTATCACCTTCAGACCTCTCCCTTAGCTCCTCCTGTAGCCTTCAGAGTCTGGGGATTGCAAGTTTCTCATTAGTCTCACCATTATAAAACAAAGAACATTAGGGTCACACACAGCAAGATTTTCCTTCATGAACTGTTGCTAAAGAGTGTGAAGTGGTATCATGCAAGATGCCTCAGGCTGGGGCTGAGAGAACAGGGTAATTGGGCTTTTGACTAAAGGTGCCAACTCAGTGCCATCACTACGTGTGAATGCTCTCTTTGACTCGCTGCCTGGAGTGTTTCTCTGTTGAAGATATCACTCATTTTTAAGAGTTTCTGATTCAGAAAATTTCTCTCCCACAATGATGGCCTACTAGAAGACCCTACCACTCATCGTTCACACAAAGACAGACAAAACTATGCGTAAACAACCACATTTAGATAAAAATAACTAAAGGAGAAGGTGGAGCATTTTGAAGAAGTAACGTGAGCTCTAGTTAGCACAGGAACTCAGGATAACCACATAGAGCATGGAAGGAAACACCCAGTCTCCACCATCCCATCCCCAGCCAGGAGCAGCAGAGAAGCAGGAGGAATTGTTCTCTTTGGGAAAAGGTAACTTAAAGGACCCCAGCAACCCCTATGAACACTTTGGACACCTAGTGTCCCCACCATTGGGTCACGGTCCTTGTAGACTTTGCAGACACTGAGCCCAGCTGGGGAAGCTGCCTGGAGTCCTCACAGTTGTGCTCCCTGAGAGGAGCCACACTGAGCTGTTCCTCTGTGGCCTGCACAACCACTGTGCTATGTCATCTTGCAACTGGAACTTCTGCTTGAGGGTGTCTTACCCCAGGGGTGAGTGAGGTCCTTGCATTGCAGAGACAAAGCTGCCATTAAACCTGAATCCTCCCATCAAACCCCACCCAGTGGTCCAATCCCCAAACACAGCTTTCAGCACCTGATGCACCCTATCCTGAAGGCCTAAGCAGTGGTGGTCCCACTCCACCCATCTGTCCCATTTGCACCTGCCCCTAGCCTTCAGGCAGGAGTGGACCCTGCATACTTCCTCTGGGAGAATCTTTAATTGTCTCTCTCAGCTGTGGCTGTGTCAATGTCCTGGGATTGAGAGGAAGCAGCACATCATCCGCTGGGGAATTAGGGTCTATGCCAAGAAGCTTCTTGGCCAAGAAGTAGCTTGACAGAGAAACTGGTAGTCTGAGCTGAGCAGCTGTGCAGCCCAGGGTTGAGCTGATGAGGTACCCCACAATCCAGAGAAATAGAACACTGGCTAAGCCTAGACACCCCACTCTACTAGCCATAAAAATATAGTACTCTTCTTCCCTGGAGCTGGACCAGCCCCTTAGAGACTGAGATGCTGAAACACCTCTTTCCTTGGGGAGTGGAGTCAGTGCTGCACTGCCCTCTACCCTCAGGGCCCAAAAGAGAGCCATGCTCAACCATTCTGGGTACTCACTCCCACTGCATCTGGCATCACAGAGACTGAGATACTGCCAAGTCATACCATCCCCAGGGATAGAGTCACCACTACCTGGTGCCTTAACCGCAAGGAGCAATGTGACAATTGAGCCCCATTGGGTCTGTTTCCTGAATTGCAGGGTTAGAGTCACAGCTACAACCTGTCCCCCTTGCCCTGAGCTGCCAGGAGGTTGCTTCACAGTCACAGATACTGGTGCTGTGGGCAATCTACCTTCAATTGTGTCACAAAGAGTTAACCAGAACCCCAAGACCTAGATGCACAATAGGTTCCCGAGACACTAAGCCCAGGATCCTGGCCCCCACTACTGCTCTGAGCATGTGCACCTGGAACCCAGCACTCCAGCTGCTTGTAGATTGGGTCATGCCTGACACCAAGAGGAATATCCTTGGTAAAGTCTCCTTATTGTTGGCAAAATAAGAATAGGAAAACCAGCAAATTCCTTGTTATCAAAGACTATGACAACCTATACTGCCACCACCACTGCCACAAACTTCTACAGCATAGGTCACTGAGGCAAACACAGTTATTGGTGACATTGATTACAACGGGAGAAGCTGCCAGAGATTATACCACTGCATTGGCATCAAACCAGAATCACCACACCCTTCCAAGGGCACACTAAAACCAAACTGCACATGACAGATTTTCTCTCTGGAAGCCACTCTGTAAAATTTGGAAGAGGTCATTGTTCCACCAGATTCACAGACATCAATGCAGGAAGAAGAAACATGAAAAAGGAAGTATATATGACACCAGAAAAGGAACACAATAACATGCCAGGGATAGACCCAAAGAAAAGAAAATCTAAAAACTATCAGAAAAAAATTTCTAAATAATGATCTTAAAAAGGCTAAATGAGACACAAG